TATTATTATTATTTATTGTCATTAGCACATTAGCTACAGTGAAGATATGTCAATAAAAAACTGAAGTCACATGGTCCTCCAACAATGCAACATGTATTTGAATTGTATGTCGCACTATGTTTGTTCGGTATTGTTTTATTCAGCAGTGCCAAAGACACATTTCATTTTCATGTCAATCTAATTGAATCTCGTTGAGTCGACTTTGGATGAATTCATCAGCTGTGGTTCAATGTTTTAGCTTGACTAAAACATTAACAATAACTAAAACCATGTATCAGTTTGACAGAAAATAATCCCAAATTATTTAGTTATTTGATAATCCTATATTCTTTGTTTCCAGCCTTTCGATCGTCACAATTTGCTGTTGAATTGTTGAAGCTCTTAATTCTGAATTTTCTTGGGAGTGAAAATGAAACTTTGATTTTGAAATTCGGTCTAGAAAAACATCTTTGTCCTGACAAGGTAAATTAACCTTGATTGGTCAGGATTGGATTGTGTGAGTTATCTAGAAAACCTACAGCTGTGAAAATGTTCTCATAAACATGGTAAAACAATTTTTTATATTTAACCTAGTATAAGTGTAATTACATATTTAGATAAAACTCAAATATAAATAAAAAACCTCCTCGAAAACAGGGGCAGAATGTAAATTAGTTAATTACCTCAAGTACCACTTTTATTTGAGGTATTTGTAACTAACTTGAATACTTCCACTTTTTAAGCCACTATTATTGGACTCATATGATGTCCTCATGATATGAATATCATACGTTAAAGAAAGACTCTGGCAGGTGTTTTCTGTGTGGTTTGAACACGCTGAGGTGTATAACAGTCTCTGCGCCAGGCGTCCCGCTGGTTTTCCGTGTATTGTAATAGAAATCCTGACTCACGCTGAGTGTGTGTTCAGCCCTGACTTCCCTGCGCTGTGGTTTGGCCACCTGCTCCACACACTCAGAGACCGAATATTAAAAAAAGACCAAAGAACGGATCACTCACGCTCGCTGAACAACTGCACGACAAAGAGGGGAAACTGAGAGCCCCACTTTCCACGAGAGCCTGAGATGGCAAAAGTACACACATCCTTTACTCAAGTAGAAGTACAGATACTCATGTTTAAAAATACTCTGGTGAAAGTAGAAGTACTGACTAAACTTATTTACTCAAGTCAAAGTAAAGAGGCTTTGAAATGTACTTCAGTAAAAAGTACCCATAACTAGCAGCTGTTTTAAAGAGTACCTGACCTCCCTTTATATTAATAGAACAATAATGTCATTGTTAGCTAATGAATGTTTCCATGGTGACGAACGGCGACATGACAACGTTTTCATTGGTCCCTCTTCTTTAGAGAAGACCAGGAAATGATGGATACACGGATCGTGTTCAAATCAATAGGCACGCAATGACTCTAAATAATAATGATCACGCCACCAAACACACATTCAGACTAAAGGAACCAGCCTGTTTGGAAAATGAGAGAAGTAAAAAAGTACAGGTATTTGAGTTCAAAATGTAAGAAGTAGAAAGTTCAGGTATTTGAGTTCAAAATGTAAGAAGTCAAAGTAAAAAATGGTCAGAAAAATAAGTAGTGGAGTAAAGTACTGATACCAGAAACATGAACTTAAGTACAGTAACAA